ATGGGATGGGGTTTGCTCTCTACTTATATACTGTGGCCTGCCTTGCCAGTGCTGGTGGGGGTAGGGGATTTGTTTTGGTAGTTCCTTGATGAGCATATGTTCACTGCTTGATTGTGTGCCTGGTGGTAACCTTTGCTTATCTGGGTGATGATTGCTGGTGAGGCGATGTTCTGGTCTTTTGTCTCTTTTGGATAGTATGTAGATGCTGTTTATCTCTGCGTGTCTGTTAATTGCTGCTTTGTCTGAATACCAGGCTTCCAAGAATTCTCTTGCATTTTTGGATTTAGCTTGGTCTAAAATGCTGACACTTTCCCAGTTGAAATTATGGCTAAGTCTGTCCATGTGTTGTGAGATTAAGGAGTTTTCATCATGTCTTCTGACTGCTAGTTGGTGCTCGTGGATGCGGTCTGCTAGTCTTCTGCCTGTCTGTCCTACATAGTGTAGGTCAGCAAAGCAAGAAGAGAACCAAGCTCAGAGAACCCCAAGGACTCCACAGTTCAACCCTGAGCTACGCATATTCGCCTCTTTTGGTACATACAATCCTGCGTCTGCATGGGGTGGGATGACATTCCATTAGGCTTCGGGAGAATTAGGTGGGGTGCCCAGGGACAACCTGAACAGGAAATCAGGCTCAAAATCAGGAGGCTTGGAAAGAGGGGCTGCCTAGAAGCTGAGTGGCATGTCGGTGGCCCTGGAGGGCACTTGCTAGAGCTTGGAGCCTAGCCCAGGAACTCAGGCAGCAGGAAGGCTGGTGCTTTTAGGCTTGAGCAGAGCATTGCCAGGCAGTCACAACACCAGCCTGGGCTTGCTGCCACCTTCAAAGGCTTGGAGAGATTTAGGAGCTTAAAAGAGGTGGACTCCTCCCTTCCAGGGAACCCCTCTCATCCCCAGCGGCAGAGAACAAGAAAGGGATGCTATTGGAGGGAGGGTTTTCAGCAAGGCTCTTCCCCTAATTCTGAAGTTTCTCTGTGACCCCCAGAACTGACTCGGACTGCTTTGGGGGAAGGGAATTTAAATCTCTTCATTCGCTGATGTATTCCGTGGCTACAATGGATTTGGCGATGCTGCTAACTTGACAACAGTAAGATTACCAATTTATTTCTATTTTGCCCTTCACAACAGGGAACAGGGCTATGAACATCCAGTCACAAGTACTCAAGAAGAAGAAGAAATGTAGAAGAGGTCCAAAACCAATAAAAAGAAGAAATGTAGAAGAGGTCCAAAACGGAACATGGCACAGGGAAGTCCTCAGTTTCATCCTATTTTCACCCAACTGAAACTCAGGCTTCCCCAACCAAGCGGGTCCCCTTCATTTGGCAGAGCAGCAGTGGAGACCGCCGACACCCCAATCAAGGGCGTGATTCACTGACAGAATCTGGAGAAGTGGCCCGGTTTCCTTCCTCTTGGCGGTCTTCTTCCTCCTTTCGAACGAGGAGGAAATACACAATGCAGAAGGACAGAAAGCAACATGTTTCAAATAAAAGTTGAATGCCAACAAACCTGGTGATCAAAAAACAGAGAGTGAGTGCAGTTGAAAGGGCTGCAATGCAGCCTCCCTCACTCAGGGCACAGACACAGCAAGGGCCTGAAGCCTCGTTGGATATGTTGCAGTTAATAAGAGCCATAAAGCCTTGTCTTTTGTTTCTCCCTGATTTTAACAGAAAAAAGCATATTTGTTTAGGAATTTAACAGAAAAAAGCATATTTGTCATCCCTGTTCATAACTGCATACCCTAACACAGTGTTTCTCAACCTTGGCCACTGTAAGATGTGGGGATTTCAACTCCCAGAATTCCCCAGCCACCATGGCTGGCTGGAGAATTCTGGGAGTTGAAGTCCCCATGTCTTAAAGTGACTAAGGTTGAGAAACACTGCCCTAACCAATTTTTCCTTAGGAAAATCCAATTTTGTGCATATTTTTTTCCAGCTATTCAGGGTGTTTTTGTAAATTGTCTCTAAACTGATTAATCATCTGTATATTAAGGACTATGCTGTAATATTCTGAAAATGTGTATTTTATAGTTCACATGTATTCCAGGTTCAAAGTATTGAACAGTAGATCTGAAATTGGCTTATTTATCTAAATCTTCTGACAAATCAAGCAGACAATAACCCCAATATACTTCTCTGAGTAAAGCCTGTCTTTGACTCCAAAACCTTCAAGCAGAGCTCTCTAGGGGAGCTGGAGTGGGAAAAAAGAGAGAAGCCTGAATTACTTCTGTCTGGTTCCAGTGAGGCTGTTCTGCTCTCCTGCAGTTGTCTCTGTCTTCACCCTCTTCTGTCACTGGGGAAGGGGAAGTTTTTGGATATAGCCTGAGGTCTGTGGGGACTGGAGAAGGCACAGTGATGTCTCTGGATAGTGCCAGATTGAAACTTTCAACTTGGTTTAAAAAAAGGTGAATTAAGTCTGGCAGCTGTGATTTTTTTTTTTTTGGAATCCTTTGAACAGTTGGGGATTAGCCCTCAATTGTCCAAAAGATTTTTAAAAACCATGGTGTCATTTTACTGCTGAATTTCAATATCTTGGTGGCCCTAGAAGGCCAGAAAAATCAGTCTGGGGAGCACAAGCAGCCCATTGGTTTCCCACTCCTGCATTAAGCCCCAGACACAGATTCTTTGCATGCTGCTTTTCTCCACAGTCCTGCATGCCTACGGGGCCCACTGATGTCCAGTTATTAAGACAAGGCTGGGATTGGGGAGAGGAGGAGGACTTACCTTTTCCGGAATGCCGTGTGGTTGTAGTATCGGCAGCCTGTTCTCTTTTGACACTTAATTTGCCACAGGAGACAGGTTGTGTCAATGGCGCTGCCGTAGACTATTGGGGCTGGCAACCAGGCTGGGAAACAAGCAAAGGGCACATGCTGTGGAAGAAGCAACCTCCCGCTGATTGTTCAGACAGCCCCACAGCTGGGGGGTTGCCTGGTCTCAACCCTTCCCAAACAGCCTTCCACTTGCTAGTGTAAAAGACAAGGAAGCAACTGCTACAGATGAATGTCTGCCCCTCGAATGGCAAGAGACTATTGGCATTAAAAGGGAAACGAGTGGAAATGCCCACTAACTAATATTCCAATCCTGGAACATGCCAGATAAAGCTGTTCCTTGTTATGCATAACTGGAATTAAGGGGAAAGCAACATTTCCTACACATTTCAGAAGGGGGTGGGGGAGAAATGTCCTCCTAACCTATTATTGCTGGTACCCTCTTTAATAATGAGTTGATTGTTTGGTTGTATTGTAAAACCTTTCCCATGCAAGCAGTTTAACTGAGAGTTTCACTAAAGGTACCTTGGGGCTGATTAGACCCTAATGAACGTGAACGGCTGGTGAGGGCCGAGGAGATGAACCCCTCCCATCTAAGGAATTAAGGGGAACTGAAGAAACCCAGCATAGTGAAAACTCTCATTTTATAGCACAAAAGCTATTCTCTATGATGTGGTAGGTAAAACAAAAAGGTGTTAATCATTTTATATGTTTAAGTTCATTCTTCAGAGCTTGGAGTTGAAAAAATGCAAATGTAAAATTTCAGAGAATTTATTTTGAGATTTTTTTTTATAGAACTCCAATATCAATCCCAATATTTCTTCCTCTGAATTATAAGAGACCCATGATGTAACAATAGCATTTTTTGCACTGATTTTGGATGATTCTCCAGTGTATACTTTGTGTTGTATATGTATATGAATTATGGCTTACTGGAGGTTTACTAGTCCACAATCATATTTACAAAGTGTTTTTGTACAAGTGTATATTGGTTCGAAGGCACACTAATAAATGAATGTGCTTATGCCAATCACTATACTACTTTTCTTTATTTTTGCTTTTTTCCCCATTTATCATTTTTTCCCCCCGCCTGACTCTAAGAAGAAAGTTAGCTGGGAATATGCTCCACTGAAGACAGTGACTTATTCCTGTGGTAATGCAGGCGGGACTGCGTTTTTGGAATGCTAAATCTAGACAGACTCGTTGTTAAGCTTGTGCCGTAATATATTTCCTACCCCTGCCAGATGCTTGTTTTTGCAGGAACCGCCTGAACCTCTGAAACATTGCTGCATGGATCCCAGCTCTTGTCTTTCCTGCATCTGCCACTGAAATGCACGTTCTGCCCTGGGGACTCCTCTGAAAATGGCTCTGGTGCTGTTACTTCTTTAAGGGACAAAAAAGGTGCCTTTGGTTCTCGCCTCTCCCGGCCCTGGCTCAAAGCCCCTCCCTTGAGCTGACCGAGGTGCTGAAGCTGCTGGCTGCTAGCTAAGCTCAGCTTGGCAGTTTAGCGGTTCCTGCTTTCCCACTCCACAGGGGCCCCTGGGCCTTTGCTGTGTCTGTAATCTAAAAAGCACCTTCGATCTAGATATTACAAGGAAGGAAGGAAGGAAGGAAGGAAGGAAGGAAGGAAGGAAGGAAGGAAGGACAAACTTAGGAGGGTTGGCAGATGTGCTCTGCTGTTCTGATCAGCCTCATGGAGCCTGGCACAGAACCTCTTTTTCAGATTAGGGTGGCAGAGAGTTGCACATTCCCCTGCAACTTCTGAGGCACTGGGAGGAGGTAGTGTGAGAACACCAACCCAGCACTGGTCTGATTGTGTAGATTTCATACATTCTTTTGACTTAACCTTAAGAGCCAGAAATTTGCTTCTTATATTGTTAAATTTAGCTGTTAATTCCAAAGCCAGCATACAGTTCCCAACATAACTACCCTTGCCACTTTGACTTACCGAGAACTCTTAATAGCAGAAACTGTATCCCAATGGCAAACGACTTGTCTTCATGCCTGACACTCCTAAAAGCCCAAACAAAGGGATTTGTGGGAACAAATATGCACATACAAGGAATACTGTGGCTCTCTGGGGACCCAGCAGGCCATGTGCATTTGGTGATCACCTGCATACACTGTGCTGTGGCTTGCCTGCATATGAGCAATGTAGGACTCAGAACACTTAGAAATTCATATATCTTTTCTACTCTTTTTAAATGCTATTTTTTTTCCTTGTGGTCTGGAGCTCAGAACGCTATTCTTGCTTTCTTTTTGCCAAATCAAAACTTTGGGGGACACCTCATTGCTGAAATGGGCCCAAGTATGTGAAATGGAGTTGTCTCAACTGCTTCCCTTGTCCCTCTGCCTGCCCCTTCCTGCCTCCCCCCATTGCCAGCTATTAAACCCTGAGCTCCTCAGGGCAGTCCGTAAAGAACTTGGTGGTCCTGTGGATACTTTTGCCCACAATATCTCCTATCTCAGTTCCTCAGAGAATGAGACTATGGTGCAAATGACCCCATGACCAATTGATTAGCATCTTCAGCTACCTGAGAATAAGCACAAAGGCTGGAGTGTGTGAGAGGCTGGCCAAGAATCCAGATATTGCACCAATCATGACAAATGGCATCAGGAAGTGGACACATGGAGTACCACAACTGCCAGGCTCAGCATACCCGATGGCGCCATTGACCACGATACAGTTGCATCCAGTGTAATTCTGAGGGAAGAGAGAGACGGTCAGGGAAGAAACTACAGTGTTGGCAAGGTGTTACAAGCCTACGGTTTAACGTAAGAGATGGAGAAATAGCCTTTCCCCAACCCAGGTCCTGCTAAATGTGTTGGAGTACAATTCCCATTATTCTGGGATATCATTTCAAGACTGTATTGTTTAGGGATAATGGAAATTGAAGTAAAAAACATTTGGAGATGATCAACCTAAACGTCTTTTCAAACATCACGGTACATAAGCCTTTCACTGGCAGCTTTGATAAGCATTGCCTGAGGCTCCTGAATGGGTGGGAATTGGCCAGGTTTCCTTAAAGCAACCTTGCCAACTTTGCACTCCCCCTCCAGTGACATGGGGAGTCCCAGGGTCTTGGGGAAGCTGCTTCACTAGTGGGCAATGCAGGGACAGGCCTTCCCTACTGTGGCTCTTCAGCCCACCACACCAGCTTTTCGAAAGAAGAAAGAGAATTTCTACGCACCACAACTGTCTTTGTTTCAGTATTAATGTTTACTTTTGAGCATCCAGCAAAACAAGGGGAGATGTATTCCACTTCATCTTGCCCACATACAGGGTTAAAAAAGGAGGTTGAACAGTTGCACTTTCGGTTGCAGTTGGTAATTAGCTGCCAGGGTCCAGAACTATGAGAGGAAAAAGAACTTGTTACTCAGTCAGAACCAAGCTTCTGAGCATGAGCATGTGGCAATGTGTGGACTTTATTAGGAACTCTCATTATCTTAAAAAACCTTTACTTATTTATTGTATCAGCTGTAGCTGATTTAATCTGCACATTGTTGCATGCAAAGGAATGTTTTCAAGTCAATCTTTCTGTCTGGAGCACATTTATATCAGGGCAGACATCAATCCCCAAAGTATCCCCATCGGAGAAAGAGGCATTTATTTATTTTTATGCTGCTTCCCTTTTTTTTTAAAAAAAAGTGGCTTACAATTAAGTATATATCCTAAAAGGGCACCTGTCACCCATGGAATTGCCACTACAGTATTTCCATTAATGGCCGTCCAGGTAGGTGATAGCACCAGGTTCACTTTGGCTGTTGTTGGACAAACTAAGCAGGTTCAGACCTGGTTTGGGTTTGGATGGGAGACCACCAGAAATCTCAGGGTGGCAAACTAGACTGGGAAGTCAAAATCACCTTGGAAGCAGGCAATGGCCAATGACTTCCTTACCATTGCCACAAAAACTCCATGTATATGTCCATGAAGCCCAACTTGAAGGAGAATTTATTTATCTGCTTTAATAACAAGAAAGGAATTCTAACAAAATGCCACCCAACTAACTAGGTGCATGTAAGCAATTAAATGGTTTTCTGCTGGATTGACGAAACATTCAGCTACCTAACTATCCACCAGTCCCTTTGTAGCTGGGCCCATCTGGAGCAGTTTACCCACCACTTGTCTTTGCTAACATCTCAGCTATGGTATCTTGAAAGCTCCCCCTGAGTCCAGAGACAGGCCAACCCAGGAAGGGGCTGGAGGACTTGTAGCTTTCTTTAATCTATTCTCTGAAAGGCAGCTCGTGGACCTGCTTGTTTCTCAGAAGAGGTTGCTTCTGACTGGTCAAAAGGCAATTGACCAATGACTTGATTCCAGGGTTGGGTCATGGAAACCAGACTCTTTCTGCTCTGGTTGATGCCTCCTGCTGCCTATACGTGAGAACTGATGATCATATATAACCATTTTTATAAAGCACTCTAGCCCTAGAAAGGAGCTCATAACAGTTAAAAACCACTGAATACACTTAGGAAAGGAGAAGGCCAGAGGATGGAGTGGGTAAAAAATGCAGTAGAGGCTGGAGGCTGAAGCTTGGGAGAAAAACAAGATGCTACTAGAAGCAGCTGAAAGGCATGCAAGAAGGGAGAGAGCATGGATGCCCCAGGGTCAGCCTGAGAAGCGGTTTGCTTGTTCGTTTATTTATTTAAATTAGTTATGGCTGCTCAGTCCCACAGACTCAATGTCCTGGGATTGCACTGAGAGAGAAGGAAGCAGTTTCATCTGACACATTGCAACAAGGATCGGAGACCGGTCCTGAGTTTGTGTACCTTCCGGAGTAGTCAAGCCCTGCCACCATCTGTGTGGGACAGCCCAGGAAGAGAAGGGGCACCGCAAAGATGATGCAAAAGCCCATGCTGATGATGCACATGACGGTGGCCTGCCTGAGCGAGAGCTGGCAGTTCTTCATGATGGCACCCCCAAGAATGATTCCCAACATGGCCCCTGGGATGTTGACAGCTCCTGTGGGTTGGAGGGAGAGAACGGAAACTGAATGTCCTGATGACAGTGGCTGGGTTCCCAGTTGGTACTAGGCTGCGAGGTGGCTTGTTTGTTTTCGGGTTGTTGCAGTTCTACCCTGGTGGCTTAGAGCTACGAATGGACTGGGCCACTATGGCTTCCTCAGTAAACCATACAAAAGATTCATCCCACAAGCAACTTCTATAGCTTAGGCTCAGACAGATATAAATAACGTGACCCTTTGGTCTCACCCAGCCAGGCCATTCTCATGTTCCTCATAGAGAATGCCCAGGGAAGCCTTTTCCTAGTAGTGACAAAAAACTGGAACGGGGGTTATGCACTGATAGGGATGAAACGGTTCACCTCTTCACTCAACAACTCAAACTGTCCTCTAGGGAGCATGGGAGGAATGCCATTCTTCAGGCCCTACCGCTTGAAAGAGGGCCCCATATCTCTCTAACTTTACCCAGGGGACTAAGGACTCACGACTTTAAAGCATAGGTCCCAGAATGGGATGGAGCACAGAAGTTCTTCTCTGGGCAAAACCTTTGCAGAAACGAGGCTGTGCATTGTTTGGTGGGGAAAAAAAAAACTTTTCTTTTGGTGGGGGCTTTACTTCCACAGCACAGACCCTTTTTAACATTCAGAAGGGAACCCCACAGACATCTGGCACAGCCTCTTTGATATCAGCAGTGCCACCAAACTTGAGTCTCATTCATGGTGTGAGAAGGCAGGGAGAAGTGAGGGCCTCAAACGAACCAT